AGAGAGTGTCGCAGGTTAGCCCAGCTTGTCCTGCCACAAGTCCCTGCTCACATGCTCACCAACTGAATTTCCCCTACTGGGAGCTTCTGTTACTGGGAGGTTCCCCTGGGTCTGGTGTGTGCTAATAAGTGCTGTGGCCCAATCTGAGATGGCCTGCCCCAGTCCCTGTATTTGTCAGCAGATGCTACAACCTGATTCAGCCCACCCTGCCCATCTCTTGCCAGTGAAGGCAACAGCTCAGCCCAGCCCAGCCCACTCAAAATCCAGCCTTCATATGAACTGACAGGTATTGCACACCAATTGGGCTCCCCATGTGCTGTGGACAGACCCAGACCAACCCACTTCCAGAATCTGCCCACGCATAGCCTGGTCTGGCCTTCCCCTAGACCCAGCTCCTAAATCCAACTGCAGGAGCTAAGGTCTACCAGGGGAGTTCCCCAAGGTCTCCTACTAGGCTGCTCTCGCAATGGATCTCCCACGTGCTTGCGGGTGTTGCTCCCTAGACTGACAGGACCAGCCCCCAGTTCTGGCACTCATCCACCAGTACTGCAGCCTCGCCCAGCTGGCAAGAAGCAGAAATGTAAGTGAGACAAAGAACCTGGGATTGGTAGTAGAACTACAAACCAATCTATATAACTTATTTACATGAATTACCAAACACCAAGAAAAAACTGGTGTTGAATGGCATCTCAGTGTTCATCTAGTTTGGTGTCAGGAGAAGGGATTAACTCTTAAAGCTTCAAAAGACTAGTTTAGAATAACCAGACATTTCCACTTATTGGTTGTGGTGAATTAATGATATTCTGTAATTATTCAACTTCTTATACTGTATACCTGCACTGTGATCGATGCAAACCAAAATTGCTGGGACTTATATTCCCATGTGAGGAGAAGGCAAGATGGGAAGGGGTTCTACCAACTGGCCCCCCAACAGGAGGGCAGGAGGTATTTTATTGGATTGTAGAGATGTGCAGGGTCCCTATCAGCACTCTGCGTTTTAATCTGCAGCTGGTCTGGAGTTTCGGCTTTTCCACCAGGGAATACAACACTCCAGTTTGCATCCAGCTCTGTGTTCTGCCTATCCAGTGCTGATTCTTTCACCTATCTGACATTCGCAATGATGGTGTGGCCTACTGTAGCCATCTCAGGTCACATGCCAATTGTAAGTCCCTGCCTGGGACTCAGGAGTCTTCCTTTGTAGTCTGGATACACCTTAGAAGTTGGAGATGAACACCAGGTTTTAGGAAGGTCTTGATTTAGTGAATCTAATTTCCATCCCATCTCAATTCTTTGTGTCTAACTTTTGTCACTTAGCCACATGCTTTTAAGAGTCATTCCTGGGCCTGGCAGAATGGCCTAGCAGCTAAAGTCCTTGTCTTAAATACCCTGGGATCCCATATGGGCATTGGTTCTAATTCCGTCAGCCCCAGTTCCCCTCCAGTTCACTGCTTGCGGCCTGGGAAAGCGGTCTAGGATGGCCCAAAGCCTCAGGATCCTGCACACGCATGGGAGACCTGGAGGAAGTTCCTGGCTCCTGGCTTCGGATCGGCACAGCACCGACCGTTGTGGTCACTTGGGGAGTGAATCATTAGATGGAAGATCTTCCTCTCTGTCTCTCCTCCTCACTGAATATCTGACTTTGCAATAAAAAAAAATAAATCTTAAAAAAAAGATTTGTTTTCATTTTCTTTCAAAATTTATACTCAATCTACCAACAACTTTATCTGCTGCACTATCCTCAAAATTCATTATCTGTCTACTCCTACCATTTTTATTAAATATTTACTTGAAAGAATCACAAAGAAGGAGAGACACAGAGAGAAAAGGAGAAGGGAAACTTATATCCTCTGGTTCACTACCCAAACGGCCATAACCACTGGAAATGGGGTGGTTTGAGGCCAGGAGCTTTCTCCATGTCTCTCGTGTATGTGCAGTAGCCCATGGATTAGGCCCTCTTCTGCATTTCCAGGCTACTAGCATGGAGCTTGGTCTGCAGTGGATAGATATGCTAGGACCCTAACTGATGCTGATACTGGATGCTTGTGTCACAGGCAGAGGGTTAGCCTGTTATGCCACGGTGCCTGACCTTCTGCTTATAATTAGGTTTCTGGAACTTAGTTCCCCTGGAAAACATGTGCTTTTCTGACTGATGTAGTATTGGTTTTAAGTCTTTTCAGGCAAATGCTAATTTTCTTTTCTGCTTTTGCATCTGTAACCCACCAAGTAACAATCAGATTGTCTTTTTTCCCGGTAAGTCATTGAGATCATGCTACCCTTTCTGCTTCAAATCCTTTCGTCATTAGTTGAGATTGAGTGAACAGATCACACATTTTCTGCTCACTTCTCTGAAAATGTGTCACATTAAATTCTCTCAAATTCCACCTATGTTGTCTCACTTTTTTCTTTCCAACACCGAGGTCTTTTCCATATCAAGGTACCAAGTTTTCTTCTTTCCCAATGATTTGCATGTGTGATTTACCTCATTCCTAGTGTTCAACTACTCCTCTGAACAAAATAAAACCCTGACTTTCTAGACAATAAGCCATTTATGATTGACAACCTCATTCTGATGATTTCAGAATACATATGTAATATATATGTAATAATATGAATTATATAATACAATATTATATGTGATATATTATATAATCTCATATATTATATTCTATAATATCATATTATATAATATTTTATATTTGACCATGTCATGTTGATAAGTTCAGTATATGTAATCTATATATTACATATTATATATAATATTATTGTATTTAATAATTACATGTGATATGATATGTGTATTTATGCAGTTTTTTATTTATTACTTTAGGAATTTTTTGTTGGAGCACCATAAATACACTACAAGCCTTACAAGAGCTTGTAGACTGACACACTTTGGACACCAGTTGATGAACACATCCATTACTGAGTAAGACTGATCTGGATAAATGAAAAGAGAATTAGACCACAGTTTGGACCAGAAAATAGCTCCCTAAAAGTTTGAAAATACTTTAAATTATATAAAGTATATAAAATATATTGTCTGGCCACCAAGAATTTGAAATAGAAATCAGTACCAAAAATATTCCAAGAAAAATTTTAAGTATTTGAAAACTAAACAACATTCTAAATAATTCATATGTCAAAGATCTTCTCAAAGAAACTTCCGCAGTTTCGCTTGTTTCCGTATTATTTGTCTGTTGGCCACATCATTGATTTCTGCTTTCAATAAAGGTTTGTGGAGAGATATCAGTGGAAAACTTGCAAGGACAGAGGGAAAAATTCCTGAAATATTGCATATAGTCACAACAGCATTTATGCTGAGAGTTTTCTTAGTATATACATCTGTCAAATCTTTTGTAAGTATGTTTCATAAATATCTTAAGAAAACTTACATGTGGGATAAATAGTTTTTAAAAAGGTAAATATAAGTGTGTCTTTTAGAATATACCTAAAATTGTTTTGCCAAAGCAACCATGATGAACTTGTTATATTCTTTCATAAACTCATGCATTGATTGGCACATTTTTATATAGAGATAAATTATTCTAAATGACAGAGTGTTTCTCAGCTTAAAAATAAAATTAATCAATAAGAACTAGAAGTAATACTCAAAAGTTAGCAGTACTTAGAAATCTTCAAATTATAGGACTTACCACATCAAGCACAATGTATAGAAACAGATCCACACTGAAGTCTTTCTCCCTGAATTTCAGAATAATAAATATACAGAAAAGAACCTCAAGCTTTCAGAAGGGACGTGGGTGAACAAGAAAATAGCTTACTTGTTTAGAAATAAAAATCAGATAGCTGTCAAGTTTTATTAGTAGCAAAGGATTATAGAACATTTGAGGCAAGGATGTTGAGGATATGTAGGAAGATTATTTTGAACATAAAGTTACAAATATGTTATCTGTCTTAGCACCTATCACCTAATTTGGTAACTCTAAGAAGAGCACCCTTAATAGCAGGTATAAGAAAAATAAATTTATAAGTAAGAGAAGAATAATTATGAAACCACTGATGCTTAATCAAACGTTTGTCTTACAAGTAAATTTCAAGACCCAGAAACTTGGATCCATGCCTGATTGTAGCAGATGAATCAGTAGGAATCAAATCGGGCAGGGGAGTGGCAATGTTTGAGATGCTTTTATTCTAGAAGAGGAATGAAGGGCGAAAGATGATGATTCCATAAACGTAAGAGATGTTATTTTATTTTAATTCATTGTATTTGTCGGAAAAATATAGTTTCACAGAGAGAGAGAGACAGAAGACAGGACTCAGGCATAACCAGGAGTCTGGAACTCTCACTGGGTCTCCCACATCCTAGGCAAGCATCTTCTGCTGCTTTGTCATAGGCATTAGCAGAGATCAGAACCAAAGTAGCCATCACTCTGATAGGATGTACCAGTAGGCAGGTGACGGGTTACCTAACTGCAACAGAAGAGGAGTCCAGGTTGTGTGATTTAAAAGAGGACTGCATGTTTGGAAGAGGCATATTCTTTTAACTTTACTGTGGGAGAATCTGATTTCATTTTCAAAGACAAAGGAAAGTTTTGCTGGGTATGTTATCCTGTGCTGATGCCTAGATACCTAAAGTTATTCTCTTGACAGAGCAAAGGAATAGTGCTCACCAAAACCAAAGGCAAATACAAAGAATAAAATAACAGTAAAATAACAACAAAACAGGAGTGCAGGGGTGGGTGCTTGACCTAGTAGCTAAGACATTGTTAGGATGGCTGCACCCTGTGTCAGAGCAACTGTGTTTGATTCCCCTTTCTGCCTCCTCGCTTCACTTCCCTGCTAATGGAGACAGTGAGTCGATCTGCTGCCCACTTGGAGACCTGAATTGAATTACTGGCCATCTTGAAGGAGAACCCCCATTGAGAACCCTCTAGCCACCTTTCTGTTTTTCTGCAATAGAAAGGCAAATAAATAAATAAGAACTACAGCTGATATATTTGTAGGAGTCAGTATAAAAGGGAGAATTAAAAATTCAGCAGAAAGTGGCAATTATTTACTGAGCAAAGTACCAGGGAGAATTGAAAATCATTTGGATAAAAACAGACTGAGAAATGTGTCTTAAATAATCATAGAGAATTTTTCCCCTGTACCTTGGTTTCACCAGTCTGCAAAGATCCTAGAAAAGACACACAATATTCCTTGTATCAATGGGAAAGGTTCACGGTGATGGTGAGTGGCTTTCTTCTTTGTTCAATAGCAAAAGGGCATCTACTAATATAAACACATTTTACAACAAGCAGTTTCTACTGGTATGCAATTTATCTGTAACATATTCAGGAGCGAATAATCATGTTGCCAAACCAATGTGACACTTATTTTGTGATTAGTCCTAAAACAAACAAAAATCTCTGGACAAGCTTTTTTGAAATGCTTTCATTTTGCCAGTACATAAACGGAAATGTTATTCGCTTGCCCTGTCAGTTTCCCATCATATACAATCAAAGGTGATCAGTCATCTAAGCTCAAAGGTTCCAGTTTTTGAACTGTGTGTTCTTGGGCCGAGCTGCTTCCTCTACAAGACAGTTCTACAATTCCAACATAAAAATTGGAGCATGAGTAAAGAAGAAATAATTATAAATTGTAGTAACCATAAAATCTTCAGGAAGATAAATGGTTCATGTAGAATCTTAAAGTATGGATAAAACCTACATAATGGAATCAAGGAATTTTTGTTTGATGAGTTAAAATTTTAGCATGCACGATGTTTTATTTTGACTTTAATAGCCTCATAATGTATTGTAACTATTACTGATATCATTAAAAAAAAAGGAATATCACTGAGGCTAAGTTAGAAACGAGGAACTAATTATTGCATGTCTGCTGTGCAAGGCATGGTAAAAGATGCTGAGGACTCCAGGGTAAATAAAGTGTGATCCATAGTCTAGAAGAGCTCACAAGTCAAGAGGAGGTGCTGAAGAAGGTAGAAAATGAAGCTGGCGAAGTGGAGTACCGGAAAGGCAATCAGCAACTTGAGAAGAACTTGCTTTTGTTACCCAGCTATTTCAACAAACCAAGATAAAGAAAACCTCATAGGTTCTTCACTATGTTCTTCTTTATTATCATTTCATTAGGGGAAAAAAAATATAATACCGAGAAGGTGATACTATGAAAAAATTGAGAGGGTATTTACATTGCTAGTCAATTTATATTATACATATTTAATTAACTAGAAAGCCTTAATATATCTGAAGTTATTAAGTGCACTTTATGAATAGTCAATAAAAGCCAGTCACACATAATAGTATGAAAAGACTGAAAGAAAATCATTCAGTGCATTATGAAGAATAATATCACAATAAGAAATGGAATGGTCACCTATTTCTTAAATAATTAAATGAAATTTCCAATAACAAAGAAGTCATTTTGTAATGTAAATGACCTTCTTCTAAATAACTCAAATCTCATTCATACTTCTTTTCTGTAATCTCTTTCTGCATTTTAAGTGTGCATAATGCATTGGCTTCATTAATTATAAATCGCTATCAATGTGTTTGCCTGTTTGTTCATAGCTCATATGTGAAGATTAGGAATTGAATTTTTTTCTTTTCACAATTAGTATATGCAAGATATAATTAATTTAAGGCAACTTAAATTCTGTGATAAAATATAAAAAATTATTACATGCATATACTGTTTTAATGGGAAAAAATGGTCAGGAAAAAAAAAAGCACATTCCCTAATAAAATATTTTGTGTGAAATTTGACTTAGAATCTCAAAGAGATTACATGATGTTACATGTAGTTGAAATTCAGCATTCTTCTCTACCTTTTGGGACATCTTTTCAGAAACTTTGCTATTAACATTGTGAGAATCAATCTCTGCTAAAATAAAGTTTACCTAAAATGTGTATTTAATTTTGTTAGTCTAATTTTATTTTATGGGTCTCATTCCACAGGGTATTGCACACTTTTCACCAATTAAAACTTTTCTTGTGAAGACTGTTATCTCCTATAAAAATACATAGTGCATCCTAGGAATATATCCAAAACACCTGTTTCACGAGAAACCAACAGGCACCCCTATGTTCATAGCAGCACAATCAGTAATTGCAAAAACATGGAAGCAACCGAAACGCCCATCAGCAGAAGATTGGATAAGAAAGCTATGGTTCATCTACTCCATTAAATACTACTCAGCTATTAAAAAAAAAATAAAATGCAGTTCTTTGTGGCTACATGGGCCCAACTGGAAACTATAAGGGAAATGAGCGAATCCTAAAAGGATAGACACCACATGTTTGCCTTAATTTAACCTCTAATTTTTTTTGAACCTGTAATTAACACTGTCAACCCATGTGTTTTGAAAAATTGAATTTGCATTGTTTTTAACATATTGTTTACTCAATACTATGCCAATTAATTCCATAACATTGTATATTGTTGCTGATGTTATGTTGGGACTTTTAATTGATCGGGATTTTATTCTGTTGGCTCTGCCTTCTGACCAGAAAGGGTCTCCCCAAAAAGCCGTTGGACTTGTCTGGACAATAAGATGCTGGACTCTATGCTGGGTATATGCTTGCAATGAAGGAATCACAACTGAACTTGAACTGTGGTTATGCAACAGGGTGGAGGACTCCACCATGAGGGTGGGTTGTGGGAGGGGTAGGGAGAATCCCAGTACCTATAAAACTGTATCACATAATACAATGTTATTAACAATAATAAAAAAAAAAAACATAGTGCAAGAAATAGACAGAGGGATTCAGGATCCAAGGTCTGCATCCGACCCACTGCCATCCTCTGTGCTGGCCGTTTTATTACCGGATGCTGGTTTGGTTGGCTTATGAAGTTTCCTATTTTAGGCTCACAAACCTTCCTCAAGAGACCAACTCACTGTTTTCAGGTTTTCTGAACCATTTGCTGTCCCTGTAGTGCTGAACGAGGAGAAGCTGTTTGGAATACAAGTGTCCTCAGATCAAACCAGAGAGGAAGTTCTTCAACATCTATTGCATTTTTGACCCTCCAGTCTCTCCCGACAAATAAAGCCAAGTAATAGAAATCAAAGTAAACAGAAATCAATAGGGATAAAAGTTGACAGAATATTTTAAACTTCATAGAAGTTCAATTAATTATTGTGGCCACACTTGATATTCATAGTGTGATCTGTAGCCTAATAAGTTAAAATTTAAGAAAAAATGAATGGTATCCATTTCCCACTCTCATTTTGAACCACAATAGAATGTTGAAACAGCATTAAGTAGCCTAAGTTTGTAAGGCAATTATGATATCATGAAAGTGTGGGTTAAACCTTAATCATCACGAGGTCAAGAATCCTAACAAGCTAAGAGTGGAGCTGCCTCCTCTGCAGTCCAAATCACTTGGAACCAAGGCGTTTCTGCTGCTGCTAAGCCAGCCTGAAATGGAGCAATTCATTGCAATTTCCACTGCTCTTAGCACTGATCTTGTTCAATGTGTCCATCTCACGTCTAAGAGGGGCAATAACAGAACTCCTGTGTTATCAGGGAGGAAATCAAATGTTGAATCACAAGTCATTCAGAAAGTACTGGAACTGAGAGCCATATTTTAATTCAGCTCCCAAAGAAGTAGGTCAGAATCCTTCAATCAGAGTTCAAAATTCCGTGTGCAAACTGAAGATTTTCCCAAGGCTGAGACTCTCCTTAAAATAAGCATTATGCAGCAAGAAAAAAAAAATTAGAAAACAATGTAGGAGATGAAATGACTGAGAACCAAGTTTCTCAGGTAGCAGTTAATTTTCAAAAGCAGTGTGACTAACGAGATTGTTATGAAATAACTACAGAGTAATACACGGTCTAGGAAGGAAAAGACAAACCACCCAGACCGCTCCAATAAAGGGCCTTTCATTAATGCTGAAGAATCCTTTCCCATTGAGGCGCTCAAAAAGTCTCCCCTTTCTACAAGGGACACATATCCAGATAAATGCCATAAAACCCCCACATGGTGGCCTAGCGGCTGAAGTCCTCACCTTGAAAGCACCTGGATCCCATATGGGCACTGGTTCTAATCCCAGCAGCTCCACTTCCCATCCAGCTCCCTGCTTGTGGCCTGGGAAAGCAGTCAAGGACGGCTTAAGCTTTGGGACCATACATCCGCATGGGAGACCAAGAAGAGGTTCCTGGCTTCGGATTGGCACATCACCCTCAGTTGCGCTCACTTGGGGAGTGAATCATTAGATGGAAGATCTTCCTCTTTATCTCTCATCCTCTCTGTATATCTGACTTTGCAATAAAAATAAATAAATCTTAAAAAAAAAACCCACATGGTCATCCAGTTGGACACATATCTCTGGGATGCTTGAGTGGAGTGTAACTCTTATTTGGTTTAAAGGATTTGTACTCCAGGTACTCACTCCACTTGTGACTTCTAGTATGCACCAAATGACTCATGTTTATCCTAGCACGTTAGTTTCTGAATGTAAATATATGACCTCTATCAGAGTGTATATCATTGGGGAAATTTGTATACCAGAAATGGCCAGCACGCCAATGGAAATGAGTCAGAAGATCCTCCATGGCCTATGTAAACATTGGGAATAGATCCTAGGAGTTCTAATGGGAAGTTCTTACTCTCACTTACAAGCTATTTATCTGCAGAATACTCATACAAATCAGCGTAATTACAGTCTTTCAATGTTTTGGAACTCAAATGCTACAGGCCTGCAATTGACTCGGTGCTCCTGTAGTCAGAACTTGTTAACAGGTATGGATCTGCAGGAACTTTGTTTAACCTTTAAACCAAAAACTCCTCCTCTACTAAGTGTGTGTGTGTGTGTGTGTGTGTGTAATTAAAATGTAAGCCTATTTTGATACTGAGATTAAATACACAGAGATCATTAAAAATTTTGTGCTAGTAGAAAACCATGAATGAATATCAAAAGTTCTTGAATAAAATAGCCTTCTCTTTTAATTTCACTTATCCAGGAACATTTGAAAAGACCCTTATGTGTGTGTTCATCCACACTGAATACTATGTCATCACGTTCATTGATTACATTATCATGTGAACTTACAGTGGTGGCTTTAGGTCAGAAATGAACAGTCTGGGATGACAGGCAAGACCTGAAAAGCCTGGCTACCTAGAATACAATGAATACCTGAATGAATGCACAGAAGGAACTATTGCAGTATAAGTTCCACTTTTTAATTTGACCTACATTTAGCCCTTTGCAGGATTAGGGACTTGGTCCAATGAAGGGCTCTATCAGGGTCTAAACTCTTCCCCTAATTCACACGTTGAGGTCCTTTAAATAAACACACTCTTGTGACAGTGAGTTCACAGGAAGAGGTGACTCACAAAACTGGTTAAAGTTGACTTTCTCTTTGTTGTGCTTCCTGTTTTCCTTACAATTGATGTATTTTTGGCAAGGACTCTGGTTATAAACCGTCTGGGACAGTTGTTTCATGATGCTGTATTAAGTTGCTAAAAAGAGAGAATTCTGAGTTAGTGAGTGACTAAGCCATGTTTACATCCTGAATAATGATAGCCTTGCTCCACTGTTGCAACTGAATTTTCCATTTCTTTCCAAACAACAGCACTGGGCTATGCGCTCAGCATCTTCTAGAAAGACAGATGCAGAAACCATGAACACGTTAGTCTTGCTTATTTTCTCCCCCATGTTAATCTCTAAGCAATTAAACCTTTCTTTCAGCTAGTGATTTTTTTGGAGGAAACATTAACAGAATATTTTAGCATGAAACCATGCCTCCTTTCTTTACAGCTTTGTGTGTGTGTGCTTTTTTTATCAAAAAAAAAACTAAAAGAAGGATAGCTAACTTGCTGTTATGAAACTTTGCTGTGTTTTAGATAAGTAGCTCTCTCAAAAGATGCACCTTGTCTTGGTTGACTCTAAAGATTTCGGCATGAGTTCATAGGACAGAACAAAGAAGTTTTAACACAAAAAATGCCTTTGCTTCTGTCATGTAAATTAAATGTTGCTATGTATTGATTTAATATTCAAAGTGCCTATTGCCATTTCTACTAAAGTACTACAATTGCATTTTCAGTAAATGTAAGAGCTTAATCGAGTGTCTGATTATCTTATTATAAAACTACTTCCCCATATGTTGCCATATGGCCTATGTGTGTATATCTTAAACTCATATTTACTAATAAAAATAAATAGGCCTCATCAAATTATCCTTGATACTCTTTTAAACCTCTTACACTGTTTTAAGTCTATTTCACCTAGTTCTGCATGCTTTGAGAAATTATTTTAAACATTTTCTTAGAGGACCAAGTGCCAAAGACAAATGGAGTTTTACTACATAGACTTAAATCAATTCAGGGATTTTTAGATTGGCATGGACTGTCTGGAATTTGAAATATGAGCTTAAAATCTGCAATCATTTACTTTTCTTTTCAATCCATAATTTATTAGTTTCCAGAGAGAACAGTATTTCAAATACCTCTCTGAGCTACGATAAAACAATCACTCAACATTCTTTACCAAGAAAAGTGCCTCAGCTGCAGCATTTTATGTTTCAGTGACAACTAATTGAGAACACTATTTTACTTGGTAGACATAAGCTTTGTGTAGACTTTGTCCATGATTTTTTTTCTAAAATTTCTATTGTCCATATTTAAAATTCCCAATGCTTGATATAAATGTTAGATGAACATTACTTTGATAATTTTGTCTGCCAGGTTTATGGATAATGTAGTTCATTATATGTCATGAGAAACTTCCTTTTTTCTCCATTTTTTTAAAAGAAAGATTCATTTTTATTGAAAAATCATATGTACAGAGAGAAAGATCTTCCTTCTGATGATTCACTCTCCAAGTGACCCAAATGGCCGGAGCTGCGCCTATCTGAAGCCAGGAGCCTAGAGCCTCTTCTGAGTCTCCCATATGGTTCAGGATCCTTAGGTTTTTTTGCATTCCTTGACTGCTTTCCCAGGCCACAAGCAGGGAACAGGAAGGGAAACGAGGTTGCTGGGATTAGAACCGGCGCCCATATAGGATCCTGGAACATTCATGACAAAGACTTTAGCTGCTAGCCTATGGCACCAGGCCTGAGAAACTTCTTTTCTTAAATAAAGAGATTTGATTCCAGTCATAAAGATTATTTTCCCCAAAAGCTTAAACATAAAACAAGCGAAAATCCTCTACATATTGATTCTCATGTGGTATTATCTTGACCAATTTTCAAATTCCAATACTGCCATGTACTACCTCTGATTGTTAACTTGGAAAGTTACATCATTGTGTTTGAGGTTCCATATTCTCAACTATAAAATCAGTGCTATCACTTGATCTATGAACAACATCATAAAGAAAATTTATTGAGAAACACAGCAAGTACCAGAGACTGTGACTCCATCAACAAATTTCCCTTTCATTTAAGTGACACATGCACGCCTAGAGGGAGGCACTGGGGCACAATGGGCTGAGCAGAAGCTTAGGCTGCCAGAATGTCAGGTGAGACCCATTTCTATAATTCCAATCTGATTTCCTGCTGATGTGAGGCAACAAGTGATGGTTCAAAGGTTTGGCTCTCTGCCGCCTGTAGGGGAGGTAGAGCTGAAGATTCCTAGTTTAGGCCCTGTCAACCCCCTTTTTAGAAGTTAAGGACCCAACATAAGACACCCTGTGACTTCTAAATATGTGAAAATTTGAAACAAACATATAAAGTAGAAAAA